CCAGCTGGTTGTTGCTCGTCCGGACCATGGGGGATCTGGGGAAACCCTCGTCTCGGGTTCAGAACAGCCCTGAGCAACGAACCTCCGAGTCGAAGGTGTCGGAAGGGCTGCATCTGCAAGCAATCGAAGGGTTGTGGGGAGAAGCCTTGTGTGAAAAGCATCGCGAGCCCCTCAAGGTTTTCTGCTGGGAGGACTGCGCCTTCATCTGCTTGGTATGCGCCAAATCCCAGAAGCACCGAGCCCACCTGGTACGTCCCGTCGAGGAGGCAGCTCAAGATTACAAGGTAACCCATTCACTTTTGCTGGCCTAGGGGAGGCGGACGCTGTTACTCTTCCCTGCTTGAGGTGGTGGTGGACTTCTGCCCTGCTTGCACGCACCTTGAGAGCCGTCCTCCTTGGTGCCTTGATTGGATACTTCTAAAAATTTGGCATTGCACAATACTCTTAATTCTAAAGCCACTTAAACAACACTGTTACTGTATGTGTGCTGTACAACCCAACTACCATATTATGGCTTAATGTGATGGTGAAGGCAGCAGCTGGATTTCCCAGGACTGACTGTATGCCAGATTACGTCTAAGGGTACTGTGCAATCCCAATTTAATTTATTTTATTTTATTTATTTAGTTTAGTTTGTCAAGCATGTGTGAGAAAACAAGTATAAGTATGAACATAACATATAAACATATAAGTATAAACGGGTATAAATATATACATAATAAATGAGTACAAATAAATGGGAAGAGTAGGACAGGGATGGTAGGCACGCTGGTGCACTTATGCACACCCCCTTACAGACCTCTTAGGAATGGAGTGAGGTCCACGGTAGACAGTTTAAGGTTAAAGTTTTGGGGGATTGAGGATGTAACAATAGAGTCAGGTAGTGAGTTTCAGGCCTTGACCATTCTGTTGTTGAAGTCGTATTTTCTGCAATCGAGTTTGGAGCGATTATCCTAGCTTTTCCTTCTGAGAAACCTAGACTGATGCCCCACAATTGGTTCCTTCAGCCCCCCAATAAAATCAGCTTCCCAAGTGATTTAGCATTTCAGTAATTGTTGGGGAATAATCCTAAGAGATTTTGTTTGTTCAGAAAGACATCCAGATCAAGCTACATAATCTGAAGCTGTGGAGAATGGATGTTGAAAGATCAAATCAGACTCAGGAGAAGCAAATGGCCGTGTATTTGGTAGGTAACTTGTTCAATATAGTACTAAGGAAAACTCTAGCAATTTCTCTTCACTGAAATACATTCCCCACTTTATTGTACATTTCGTAAATAAAATAGTTTTATTTTGAGTGTCTGAAAAATAATCATGAGCAATTTTTGTTCACTAAATACAGAATGCAGGTTTATAGCTTATAGTTGCATTTTTTACTTTATTTTATTTTACTTTATTTTATTTTACTTTTTAATTTACTTTTTTTTTATTTCGCATTTGGGGCGCCATGGTTTAGCAGTTAAAGACACTGAGCTTGACAGTTGGAAAGCTGACAGCCTGTGTTCAAGATCCAAGTGCTGCGTAACTGAGTGAGCTCCCGTTACTTGCCCCAGCTCCTGCCCACCTAGCAGTTTGAAAACACGTGAATGCGAGTAGATAAAGAATTACCACTTCGGTGGGAAGATAACAGCATTCTGTGTATAGTGGTGTATAGCCGTGCTCGCCACATGACCACAGAAAATATCTTTGCACAATGCTGGCTCCCTCAGCCAAGAAATGGAGGTCAGCACCGGTACCCTAGAGTTGGATAGCACTGAACAGGGAAACCTTTATCTTTTTTTATTTTACATCTTGTCTTTCCATTAATAAAGGTGGTTTGCTTTAGTTTTCACCCTATGATGTAGGTGAGGCTCTAGTGACTGATTCACCCAAATGAGTTTTGTGAATGTGTAGGAACTTGACCCTGAGTCCCGTAGTCCTGGTATCACATTCTACTTTCCAGTTCAATGTAATTGTAATATGTGCCTCTCCATGGGGAGGACAACAGAAATCTTCTTAATCATCCCCCTTTCCCCATGCATTCAGGCACATAGAAGTAGTCCTTGTTTAACAGCGAGTCATTTTACGACCGTTTGACTTTTCAACAGCCATAGGACAGGTGCTTTGCCTCGTGGTGTAACCAGAACAATCTGGAACTGAACACACTCAAAACCGTAGAAATGATGGTAGACTTTAGAAGAAACCCCTCCCATACTACCACCTCTTACAATACTTGACAACACCGTATCAACAGTAGAGACCTTCAAATTTCTAGGTTCTATTATATCACATGACCTAAAATGGACACCTAATATCAAAAACGTCATCAGAAAAGCACAACAAAGAATGTTCCATCTGCGCCAACTCAGAAAGCTGAAACTACCCAAGGAGCTGCTGATACAGTTCTACAGAGGAATTATTGAGTCTGTCATCTGCACCTCTATCACTGGTTTGGTTCTGCAATCCAACAAGACAGACACAGACTTCAGAGAGTAATTAGGACTGCATAAAAAACAATTACTACCAACTTCCCTTCCATTGAGGACCTGTATACTGCACGAGTCAAAAAGAGGGCTGTGAAAATATCTACAGACCCCTCACATCCCGGACATAAATTGTTTCAACTCCTTCCTTCAAAACGACGCTATAGACAGAGCATTGCACACCAGAACAATTAGACACAAGGACAGTTTTCCCCCGAACGCCATCACTCTGCTAAACAAATAATTCCCTCAACACTGTCCAACTATTTACCAAGTCTGCACTACTATTACTATTAATCTCCTCATCACTCCTTAGCACCCATCCCGTCCCACTTGTGACTGTATAACTGTAACTTTGTCGCTTGTATCCTTATGATTTATATTGACTGTTTCCTACTATGATTTGATTGTTTATTGTACCCTATGACTATCATTAAGTGTTGTACCTTATGATTCTTGACTCTTGATGAATGTATCTTTTCTTTTATGTACACTGAGAGCATTTGCACCAAGACAAATTCCTTGTGTGTCCAATTACACTTGGCCAATAAAGAATTCTATTCTATTCTATATATGGCTTGTAAAGTACCGTGGCCATCGTAAATGATTGCAATGCCCTTCCACCCTGTGACTACTTGTTTGGCAGTTCAGCATTACAACCGGTCAGAGAACATTCTGCAGTAACATAACGGTGATTTGTAATGATTTTTGCTGATCTCTGGCAATAAACATGCATTCAGATGAATGAGTTCACTTAATAGCCATAGCGTTCACTTAACAACTATTGTGAAAAAGGCTGGAAAATTATTTTTGGTCACATGGGTGCCTTGACTTACAATCACAAAGTCTTACAACCTAATTCTGGGCTCAATTATGGTTGTAAGTTGAGGACTATTTGTAATGATCGGCACTAGCAATATATTGACCAATTTAGCATTATTTAATAATAGCAATATTGTGATATAGCATTGCTCCCCGACTTTACATAATACGTTGGTGCTAAAGTATATGGTTAATTATATATAAAACAACGTTAGTCTTATTGACTTTTTATTTTCTTTCTCTGTCGACTGCAGGAAGACATCGAAGCAGAGAGAAGAAAGATTGCACAGGCATTCCAGCAACTCCGCTCATTTCTAGAAGAGCAAGAAAATGGCTTCTTGGCTAAGTTGAGTGACCTGGAGAAGCAACAGGATGAAAGTATCACCAGACTTTCAAACAACATTTCTTTTCTCAATGATCTGATCTGTGACCTAGAGAAGCACTGTCAGAGGCCTGCGGGTGAATTTTTGCAGGTAGACATTCTAGGGTTGTTGTTTTTTAAACATAAATTATTGTGGCTGTTTCTCCCTGAACCTGAGCATCTTTGCAAAAATGCTTAGGTGCCAAAACAAAGATGGCAATCTGCGTTGTGAATTCAGTCATAATTTCAGTAAGAATCTTGTGACATTGGTTTTTCCCAGAATCCCCCTGACAGATGACCTTTCTTCACAGAATAAGTCTAGGGAAGTAGAGCTTTGAACCAGAGTTTCTGCTCGGTGGAATATTTCTAAGCATTTCAGGAGGAATTTTGCTTTTAGGAATTTTTCCTTTAGGTCCCTTAGTTATATGCAGGGGTGGGCTTCAAATTTTTTAGCAAGAGGCTCTCTGACCTAATGACTGGCTGGGTGGGTACAGCTCGGTGATCATGTGACTGGGTGGGTGTGGCTTATTTGCCCTAATTACCTAAAAAAAGATAATATACCAAAAAGTTGTTTATTATTTTGCACATTTAATTCTTAAATAAAAGACTGGGTGAAACCAGGCTTAATAGCAGTGACTGTGAGAGGGATCTTGGAGTCTTAGTGGAGTTTCTGGTGAGTTATGTGATTCTTATTATTTGGGAATTAGCCCTCCTTTATCTAGCTTGACACTTTTACGGGGTGTGAAATGCAACCCCCAGCCCACTATGCTATTTTTCTTTTTTCTTTAAAAAAGAAAAAGAAAATGGTAAAATCCTCCTGAACAAAGTTGTTCTCTGATCATTTTTTTCCTCTTCGCAAAGTAACTCAAATGTCTCTGGTTTCTCTAGGATCTCAAGGAAACTTTAAGCAGGTATGTGATTTATAATCTTTTGGGGCTAATAATGAATTTGAGTGGTTACAGAAAAATATTTTTAAAAAAATAATAATAATGCTCTTCTGTGAGCTCTGTCTAGCAGAGAGGAAACCCCTATTCTTTCTTTTAAAGAGGCCAGATGGAAATTAATTTGGAAACAGTCTGGCTGTCCTTCTGATTTTTCTCTTACCAGCTGCTTGGAGGCAGCCAGACATCAGGGGAAGCCCCAGAACTAAAATAATTTGAAACTTCTCTGATCTCCAAGGTATGAAAAGGGTGCGCTCCTTTGCTTCCAAGAGACACCTGTTAACCTGGAAAAAGATCTCAGGGCCATCTCTCAGCAAAGTGATCTATTAATGGAAAACTTCAATTAGAGGTATGGAAACTACATTTCTGTAATTGTAGGGTAAACCTTGTTCGTGTGAAATGTTCTCCAAATGGGAAAAAGTAGAGAGGGTGGAAAGAAGGAATAGATTAATTCTTAGGACTTCCTCTAGTTTTGATGAGAATGTCTACTTCCATGAATACTGAAAGAAGTTGCTAAGCCTGGATTCCCCAACGGGTGTTAAGGAAAACAAACTAAACAGAACATGCAGCGAAGTCAGATAGGCAGACAGGTAAATGTGTGAGATAAGTTTTCTAGTTAACATGCAGTAAAATACAGATACGCTTGTGCTATCAAAAATATAGTTTATTCCATTTAAGAATTATAGCATAGTCAAAATAAACGGTCCATTAGTCATATATCAATTTCAGTCAAGTCTTGTCGGGGATACTCTATTTGCAAAGTCCGTGTTGAATAGCCAATGTCAGTTCACTTACAATAAATCAGTCAATCTTTATCTTCTCTCCGTTGAGAAAATCAACACTCCCTTTTCTCTCCCCGTTCCAGCAAGAACGCAGTCATCAATCCATCGAGTAATTAGGGATCAGTAAGCCAGAGAGAGAGAGCTGCAATTGCCTCGCTTCTTATATGGTGCTTTTACAACCACACCCTTAATTACATTCTTGCAGTTAAAGTTACATACACTTTAACTAACAAACCATGATACCATATTTATTATTTTTACCCAAAACAGTTAGGGTAAACAATGTTATCCCTAACAGAAGTTATCGGGGAATAGCAGAAGTATTCACATTGAAATGTCCATCTCACATTGTCCCGAAGTATTATGGTAATGTTGAGGGCAGTATTTCTCAACTTTGGCAACTTTAAGATGTGTGGACTTCAGCTCCCAGCTAACATATAATAGTTGGGAAATTCTGGGAGTTCAAGTCTATAGTTTTCAAAGTTCCCAAGGCTGAGAAACATTGGTTGAGGGTATTATGGAAAATTTAAATGGGAATTCCTGATATTGACTTACCATTACCCAAGACATTTTGCAAAAGGTCCATTTTATGTATGGATCTGCTGTTTTGACTGTGAAAATGCTGTTTTAATCATTTCAGTACTGTTCTTAGCCTATAAGAAAGAGTTTTGACAGTTGTTTTAGAACATATCCAATAAAAATACTTTGCTCCACCTGAGGACCAACTACTTGAAAAAGATGATTGGAACCGCAGTTACAAGAAAAGGAGAAATTCTAAAAGAGGAGTTGGTCCAAGGCAGACATCTCCTTGAGGATGATCTATGGGGGTCCTGTTACACTTCAGGAGACAGGAGATTGTAGGCTTTGTACTAATGATCTTGTGGCAAGCATGTGGCAAGACATTGTGCAAACAAATCTCAATGTTCAATTTTCCTTTTCTGGAGCAAAGACCGAAAACGTTAAAGCCATCCACCTGTTGCTGAACTAAATTTCCCAGCAGCATTATCCAGCATTGTCAGTGATGGGGAATGCTGGGAGTCACAGGTATCCCACTTCAGCTCTGGAGCGTGGTGTGTAGGGTTGTGTTACCTTTAAACACGAAGTTTTAAAATGTGCTCCGAGCTCCTGATGCCACATTTGATTCTTAATTCCATTTCTCAAACAGCTAACAATATATTCTGAAGAACTGCGGAAATTTTTTGAGCTGAAATTCTCTGAATCGTTCTAATTTTTAGATTCTTTCTTTCATAGGTCCTAGGCCTCTATGGGGATAAATTTTTAAACTCTTCCCACTGAGAATGATGGATGGATAGACAAACAGATATATGTGTGTGTGTGTAAAAAATGCAAATTCTCCACTGTGGTCTTGATAGAAGGACCAAATCTTCACCTTTCTCTCTTGCCTAGAATCACTGATGGACGAATTGCAGAAAAGCAAGACCCAAAGGCTTAATGCTGCCTTCCTGAGTCAGCCTGATCAGCCCCAGACCTTCTGGCCACCATTTCATAATGATGCCCTGAGAGCAGACAAGAAAGGTGATGCTGCTACCTTTTCTTAATTTGTTTTTTGTTTTTGTTTTTTTCACTCTTGCATATCTTTGGAGCTTGCAGCTTGGCTAGGATTAAAAGTTTGCTGCTTCTAAGTTGCTCCTTGGGATGCTGCTTTTCGGTAACATGCCCCCCCTCCCCCCCCGCATGAGACCCTACCTGTGAACGATGCCGTGGCATGAAGTCAAAACTGATTGGATGGGCTTCTTGCAAAGAGGCAATGAAGCAGGCTAGGCGTGCTTTGAGTATTAACTGAAAGACGGCTGTTTCTAGAGTGCCTTGCAAAGCTCAATACATTTCTTTACCTAACAGGTAAATGAGCACACAGAAGGCATGGCCCCAAGGCAGGCTTCATTGGGAATCTTCCAGATCAGGAAGTGGATGTAGAGCGCCTTCGATAGCTGGAGGCCACACTTAATATAACCTTTGAGAGGAGCTGGAAATGAACTAGCTCGTATCGTACTCTGAAACAGAAGGATGAAGTGAATTATCTTTTTTTGTGTTGAGTTTATTCTGTGTTGAAGCTGCAGGAGTGATTTGCATGTATTTCCTACTGTAAAGGGCAAGAAATTTAAAAAGTAGGCCTATTTAGTCAAGGCACCAGGCTAAAAACAGGGAGATGCTGAATTCTAGTCCTGCCTTAGGCACAAAGCCACCTGGGTAACCTTGGGTCTCTCACTCTCTCTCAGCTCAATTCGTCTCACACGGGTGATTGTGTATTAGATGTGTTCACCGCCTTGAGTTACAGATAGTCCTCAACTTACAACCAGCCAGTTAGCGACCATTTGAAGTTAAAAAGACCATGAAAGAGAGAGTTGCCACCCTGATTCAAAGTTCTGACATCTGCCCTTACATATCACATCAACATATTTTGGACAATCAGCAACTGGCCCCCATCTATGGCCATTTGCACTTACATGATTGTGATGTACGACGTTTTAACCGGCATTTGCTTCTAGTATCCAACAGAAATGCCCCATAGTGAAAAATAGGTTCATTTAATGACTATAGCATTTGCTTAACAACTGCGGCATTTGTTTAATGACCATGCAAAAATTGTAAAATTGGGAGCGGTCACATGATATGACCCATTTTACAACTGAAATTGCAGGCTCAATTATGGTTGTAAGTGAAGGACTATAATAAAAGCGGGATTAATTTTTAAAAAAAAAAATCACATGGTTTATTTTTCATAGAATGGAATGGAATAATGGAATGGAATAGCACAGCACAGCATAAAATATAATAATCGCATGGCATGGCATGGCATGGCATGGCATGGCATAGCATGGCATAGCATAGCATAGCATAGCATAGCATAGCATAGCATAGAGGGATGGGATGGAATAGGGAAAGGAAAAGGGATAGGGATAGGGATAGCACAGAACAGAACAGAATAGAACAGAATAATAGAATGGAATAGGAATGGAATGGAATAATGGACATGGACTAGAATAGAATAGAATAGAACAGAACAGAATAGAATAACGTTATTTTCACTTTGAATATACATTAATTGTTATACATTAAAATTAAATTTCATTGCATACAGCTCTCACAGGCTCACCACCTCCAATATACACTACATAAACAAGTAAATAAATAAATACAAAATTATGCATATACCCACATATTATTATAGTAGTTGCAGAAGGGTTGCAGGAGTCTCACCACGCTTAAGAGATGATGGGGAGAAAGATTAGAAGATGCAGGTGTCAGTAGGTGATCTCCAAAATAACAACCGCCTGTCGATGTTCTGCGGTTGATGCTGAGGCTGAGCTGCTGGGCAAATGGAGCACTCCCTTGTTGCGTGTGAGCATTTGCCTCGCTTTCCTGGCAGGAAACAGCGATGTGGATTAACTGGATAATTGATTGAAGGCAGATTGGAGCTGAGAAGTCCCCATGACCATCCCCCCTTTTTTCTCTCTCTCTCTCAGTCTCCCCAGTCAGCGTGACCCTAGACCCACGTACAGCCAATCCCCATCTCTTCCTCTCCTTGGATCAGAAGACAGTCACGCACCAGGATCACACGCAGGCCTTGCCGGACAATCCTGAGAGATTTGATGCAGAGTTCTTTGTGCTGGGCTGCGAAAGCTTCTGCTCTGGGAAGCACTCCTGGGTGGTGGACATCAAGCAGGGGCAGAACTGGGCCATTGGC